TATATATATATATATATATATATATACATATATGTATATATATATATTATATATTAATATATATATATATATATATATATATATATATATTTATTGATTCCCTTCAGAATTAAAAAGTCATCACTATATAATAAATATAATACATCATTAATAACATAACAAGTCAACATAATAAGATCTCTCAGCTCATATCCTGCTTGCTTCTCATATTTGTTTTTCTTTACCTCTAATATTCATCTTTCATTTGCTTCCTTATGATACAGTTTCATTCGAATTATTTCCGTCTCTACGGCAGTTGTTCGTGAAAAATCCATAAAGAAAGTAGCTATTGAGAAAAAGAAAAAGTCTATTGAACAAGGACAGATTTTGCACTTTGGAAAAAAAAAATTGATGTAGAAGATAAATTAAAGTCAAATTTATTTATTTATTTATTAATAGACAAGTTAACAATATATTACGGCCTTAGTATTCATCGAAATCATGATTCTATAAAAAAATAAATAAAAAAATATGGGCGATATCATTAAATTTCTACAGATGAAGGATCACAATGATTACTGCCTGATTAACGAAGATTCATGATATTCGTGGTAGAGAGCAAAAGCTGTCTACAAAAAGTTTTCAATATCATTAAGCCTATTTATAAAAATTTAAAAAATAACAACGTATTAAGCAGTTGCTTAGGGAACTTTACACAAAATAATAATGAAAGTTTCAATGTCGTATCAATTGTCGTACAGTGAGTAGCACTAAAAACATTTTCAAGCGGTAAAATACCAATAGATATGACATCAGATATTGCTGTTTGCAATTTTAATGGGTTTATGAGTATCATGGAAGTAATGCAAGTGTTGGATCTAATTATTAGCCTCAATTGTTATGATTTTTGTGTCGAGGCGGACATCTAATATATGAAGGTTGTTAAATGCTCCATAAACAATATATCCCTATTAAGCTGGAATGCCAACCGTCGCAAATCGAGTTCACATCTATAAAAAAATTTATTGCTATTTATGTTAATTTGTTACTCTAATCCGAATTCTGTTGCTCCAGCTGTTTAGCAGGAAATTGCGTTCAAATTTGGGGGGCCAGCTTGTCATTAAGTTGAATCCCCCATAATAAAAAATAGATGTGTCGTAAAAAACAAATATACCAGAATTTGATGCTAACTTATTGCTATAATATAATACAAAAACATTTCAGAAATTTAATATTTACGAAATAATATTACATACAGAGTATCGCAAAAAATTAAAGTACTGAATTTCCGAAATATTTTTGTGCACAAAAATATCCAAGAGAACAGAATAAACCACGCTACAATTGGGCGTTTTTTACGTCTTTTACTGTGAACTGTATCCATTTGATGAGTAACAACCATTTTATAATTATTCTTTCTTTTATTTCACATAAATAGATGATAGATATATGTGTGCTATCTCACATTTAAAATTTATTAATTAATAATTTCATTTAGTCGATATGATTGACATACCATCTTTATCTTTTATGGTGAGCTCATCGATTGGACACAGAAATATATCTTTACTTTATTATACCACTTTATTATACCACTAAAGATGACTTAAATTTGAGTCAAAACGTTTAAAATTTTTTATTAATAAACTGTTAAAATTGAAAATGTACGTTTTGCGCACCATCTACAACGCCGATCCTTATATGCCCTATCATTGCCCATTAAAATAATAATTATTTCTAATTATTTCTTATATATAAAATTTTAATTAAATCAAAATAATCAAGAAAAAATATCATAAATTTTATTTAATGTTTTATTTTGAATTTAATATTTTTTAATATTATAAAGATATTCTATTGATGCTATATATCCGAAGAATATTATGAAAATGTCTACGGAAGTGAAATAAGGAATATTGAAAAAAAGGAATGGTCATATAATCATACAAACATCCATTTTTTCTTTTTTTTCCATAATATTTCAAAAATATAACATCAATAGAATATTCCTATTAAACAATATTAAATAATATATTAAATATATTAAATATATTAATATATTAAATAAAATTTATATTTATAATTTTTAATTTATAAATTTATAAATTTATATTTAAGAAACTTAATCTTCTAATAAATTCAATTTTTTAATTATTTTTTTTCATTGGGTAATTCACATTGCTTTTATTATTTTTGGTTAAAAAAATTTTGGTAAAATATTTTTATTTTTCAATGTATACAGTGGTCTAACTCCATAAAATATACAGATTAGAAAAATAAAAATACTTACATTTTATGAGTTGAACTACATCAGTGTGTGTAGATTGCATCACATTGACTCCATTCACCTTCAA